GCCTCGCAGTGGTAACTGGATCATCAGTGGCCACGACGACTGCCCACAGAAGCTGGTTGCCAGGGAAACAGCCTAGCACTTGCCTCTTAATTCCTGGCTTCAGTGTAACTGTTGAGCTGAAGTCACCCCAAATTATGAATGGTAGCAATGAATGAGGTGGTCTACCTCAAACAGCCGGGGACGTCATGACCCAGAAACAAAGGTCAGGAAGGAGCCAGGGGGCCAGAACCCCTGCATCCCTGCTCCGCTGTTCTTCCCGGAGGATGAACTGACACACTTGGTTGGAAAAGCCTTCCAGAAGAGAGCCTACCTTCCTTAGGGTATGGCTGAATGATCAATCAATTCCAGGAGTATCCAGCTTGGATATGATTTGAAAGAGACTCACCTGTCATTTCATGTTAACACAGCAATTATGATACTAGATGTATGTGGAGACAAACACATACACACACATACTGAGACAGAGAGAGAAAGAGATAATTTGGTATAATTTTGTGATTAAAAGAAAATGCCTTAGAATGATGTGATGATTATTAACCCATTAATCCTACTTCTCTGAATTGATCCTTAAATAATTTGAAAAGACAGAAAAGATTAATCAACCTCAGTGAGAGTATAAACCTAAAGAGAGAGAGAGAGAGAGAGAGAGCGCACAGCCCAGGCAGCATATGCAGTATACATCAAAGCATGGTCAATGATCAGTAGTTATCTATAGATTAAAGCTGATTTTTACTTTCTTGATTGTCTACTATTTCTCTACATTTTTACATGACCATGCATGACTTTTGCAATAAGAAAAATATAAAAAGTTTATTTTCATTTAACTAAAAAAGGAGAGTTGTCTGGCCATGAGCTCACGCCTTTCAAGTGCCTGCTCAGAGGATGACTGAAGAGTCAGGAGTTTCAGAGGGGACCACTATCAGCAGGGGAGTTTTGTAGTTCAAACGGTCCACCGCAACACCTGGCTGATTTTTGTATTTTTAGTAGAGACAGGATTTCACCATCTTGGTCAGACTGGTCTTGAACTCCTGACCTCATGATCCACCCACCTCGGCCTCTCAAAGTGCTGGGATTACAGGCATGAGCCACCACACCCAGCCAACACCCAGGATTTCTATATCCAGCCAAACTATCTATCAAAAAGTGTAGAATAATGACATTTTCAGACATGCAACATGGCATGCACCATTCTTCCAGAACCTATTGAAGAATACACTCAACCTCAGTGAGAGTTTAAACCAGGAAACAAGAGATGCAGCAATGGATAGCAGAAAAGGGGATCCCCAAAATGAAGGCAGGGGATGTCTCAGGGCAGGGACAGAGCCCCAACGTAGAGGGCAGCCAGTCCAACCAGATTGGACCATCATGACCAAGAGAAGGAGAGGTATCATCACCAGAATACCTGCTGCTGTTTTGTTATCCTTTTAACCTGAGAATTAATCATGTTAGCTTGCCTCAGATTATTTTCTACATGTGATTTGTTTTGATCATGAGACTTCTGACAGCCCTTCCCTGTCCGCCTGAGTACTTTCATTTCATCCCACAACATGATTCACTTTGATGTTTGCCTAAAAGCTGGGTATAAACCACACTAAGCTTAGAAAAGCAAAATTTAGAGCAGCCCAATTTCTCTGATCATATTCCTGCCTGTCCTAGCCCTGTCACAGATGGCCCAAATGGAGTGAGACCCCTGTTTCCCAGGACTCTCTTATGACCTCACCCCAAACTAAAGCCAGATTATATCCCAGAAATTCTCAACAGCTTCTTTTCCGCTGAAAATTTTTATCTAACAACAACAACACTGATCTTTGCATAGATGGCTAGTTTTGTGCTTGCTACCCAGATTTCAAAGCTAAACTATATATATCTATATATATATATATATATATTTTTTTTTTTTTTTTTTTTCTGCTGCATACACAAATGGTAGAATAACGTACTGGGGTTAGGACTTCAACACGTGAATTTTGGGAGGAGGTAACTGTGGGAAGTAGAAAAATTCCTTTTTAAAGTTTCCTTTCTTTTTAAAGAATAAGCGTGCTAATAACTCTTTGTTAAGCCCTATCCTATGCAGCTGTTAAACATACCATGCTTATGAGCGCATAGTACATTCTATGTCCGTGTACTTTAACCAAGAATTCTGTGCTGGACGTGCTCACAGGCATGTCTCAGCTCCCCATTGCTTTTATCTGTTTAGAAAAGTTTGAAGTTGTTAGCCAATCGGGTTTTAGTTTAGATTGTGAGGTCTGGCTCCAGCCAATGGAGATCAGACACAGCAGTAAGGATGACCCCAAATGAGTAAGGAATAAATTTGTGTGTTTTCCTTTGTTCATTGTACTCCCGTGGCACAATGGCTAGTGAGGGTATCCTTCCTGCAGTCCAGGAAGTAAAAATTGCGTTGCTGAAAGATCCTTTGTCTCAGTACTAATTCTTCTTTGCAGCACCAAGAATGTATTTCCAACATCTATCTCCAACAGTAATTCAGCCCATAACAGTATTATTATTTTTGATTATTATTTTTTTTTTTTTTTGAGACAGAGTCTTGCTGGAGTGCCGTGGTGTGATCTCGGCTCACTTCAACCTCTGCCTACTGGATTCAAGTGATCCTCCTGCCTCAGCCTCCTGAGTAGCTGGAATTACAGGCATGTACCACCATATCCAGCTAATTTTTGTATTTTTAGTAGAGATAGGATTTTGTCATGTTGGCCAGGATGGTCTCAATCTCCTGACCCCATGATCCACCCACCTTGGCTTCCCAAAGTGCTGGGATTACAGGTGTGAACCACTGCGCCCAGCCTATTTTCAAATTTTTATAATAAAAGTACTAAAGAGGCCAGGCATGGTGGCTCATGCCTGTAATTGCAGCACTTTGGGAGGCCGAGGCTGAGATCAGGTCTTCAAGACCAGCCTGGCCAACGTGGTGAAACCCTCCCTCTACTAAAAATACAAAAATCGGCTGGGTGTGGTGGTGGGTGCCTGTAATCCAAGCTACTCAGATGGCTGAGATAGGAGAATCGCTTGAACCTGGGAGGCAGAGGTTGCTGTGAGCCAAGATTGCACCACTGTGCTCCAGCCTGGATGACAGAAAGAGACTCTGTTGCCCAAAGAAGAAAAAAAAAGTATTAAAGAAGCAATAAAAATTTTAATGAGCAAAAGAAAAAATATATCACAATTGAAATTTTAAAGTGATAGAGATTTCCTGAAAACAAAAACTTACATGACCACAGTACAATTATCAAAACCAGAAATTAAACATTAACATAATGCTATTAACAAATCACAGAACATCATTGAATATTGTCAACTACCACAATAATCTCTTATGGCTCTCTTTTTTTCCCTGGACTATGATCAAATCCAGGATTGCCTTTAGTTTCACGTCCCTTTAGTCTCCATTAATCTGGAACTATTCCTCAGCCTTTGACTTTCATGACCTTGACATTTTATTAAAATTAAAATCAAATTTTGAGGTTATGAAAGTTGCAGTGAGCTATGATCTCACCACCATGCTCCAGCCTGGGCTCTGGAGTGAGACCCCAACTCTAAAATAGCAATCATAGAGTTACTCACCAAACTTTCTCTCAGTAGTTTCAGCATCCATTAATGGATTTCCTAATTCCATCATTTCTTCTATATTTCTAGTAGGCATTCCATAGTTTTACTAAGTTATAATCCATTCTTGTCATTAATTATTCTAATGTTCAATCATTCCAAATTTGGCTTTGATGTCCTTTTGATATGTCTCCATTGTTCTTTAAAGACACAGAACTGGCTGGGCATGGTGGCTCATGCCTGTAATCCTAGTACTTTGGGAGGCCAAGACAGGCAGATCACAAGGTCAGGAGTTCAAGACCAGCATGGCCAACATGGAGAAACTCTGTCTCTATTAAAAACACAAAAATTAGCCTAGTGTGGTGGCGCGCGCCTGTAATTCCAGCTCCTAATAAGGCTGAGGCAGGAGAATCACTTGAACCCAGGAGGCAGAAGTTGCAGTGAGCCAAGATTGTGCCACTGCACTCCAGCCTGGGTGACAGCGCAAGACTCCATCTCGAAAACAAAACAAAACAACAAAAAAAAATAAAGCAACAAACAATTATACGTTTGTTCTTGACATATTTCTTCTAAGATATTGAGTGCATCAACAGTCAGAATTCCACATCTGAAATTTACTTGTTGCTTTAGCAAAATTTTGACCGGTCAACACTGAGATGACCGTGAGGCAGGTTACTTCTGATGAGGGTGACCAGATATTATAATCCATCATCCAGGCTGGGGCGCCTGCAAGAGAAAGGGCACCAGTCAGGTAGGACCCTAGGACAACGTGTAAACTGCCCAACCTGGGCCTAGTGCATCTGTATTTGGGGGGATATGGAGAGTACGTTTTTGGAAGATGGGATCACGTCTATAGAGGGTCTATGGAGGGATTCACACATATGGAATTCATACTGCTGAGAAATAAATGATCACAAACGTAGTGGCTTAGAAAACAACACCCAAGTGTTAGCCCTCGGTTCTGTGGGTCAGTAGTCTTGGCACAGCATGGGCTGGGCTCCCTGCTCAAGGTCTCAGAGGGCTGATGTGTGCGCACTAGCTGGCTCCCTCTCTTTCAGGCCATGTGGTTGTAGCAGAACTCAGCTCCTCGTGGGGGTTGCGACCATTTTCTTGCTGGCTCCTGCCAGGGGCTGCTCCCTGTTTTCTGCCAGCTGCTTTCCCCCTCCACAGACAGCCATGAAGACTCTGCTTCACCTTGAGTTCCTCTCACATTTGAATCTCATTCTCCAAGAAGAGTCCCATCCCTTTTATGGGCTCACCTGATTAGTTCAAGCCCATCTCACATGACCTCTCTGTTAAGGTTAACTGCTCTAGGGCCCTAATTACATCTGCAAAATCTCTTGGGCGAGTGATTGAAAAACAGAGGACTGGGTGTGGTGGTTCATGCCTGTAATCCCAACACTTTGGGGGGCTGAGGCAGATAGATCACCTGAGGTCAGGAGTTCAAGACCAGCCTGGCCAACATGGTGAAACCCTGTCTCTACTAAAAATACAAAAATTACCCAGCCATGGTGGCGGGCACCTGTAATCCCAGCTACTTGGGAGGCTGAGGCCAGAGAAGGAGGTTGCAGTGAGTCAAGATCACACCACTGTGTGGCAGGCCAGATCTCATTAACACAAGCCTCCAGAAATCAACTGTTTCAGTATTGACTGAGTAGTTAAGTTAAATATTAAAAGGTAGTGCCCTTATACAAAGGCTGGGATGTAACAAAAGCCCACCAAGAGTTTTGCCCAGGCCTTTCCTGGGCCTTACAGCATGACAAAATAATGAAGGAATTCTTAACAGGACCCATTTAGTATTAAATAAGTGTTACTGTGGGTCCGAAGAAACTCCCCAGGCCTCCACAAACAAGTTTATTGGGGGTCTAAAGGAACTCCCCAGACCTTCGTGATTAAGCAGGAGACAGGATAAGGGTAATCACCCCAGCACCTGGACCCATTTAGATTAAGTAAATTTACTGAGTCTCCAGAGGAAGTTCTTCAGGACTCAGACTTTAGTTATAGCTTAAAAGAAGTTAATCACTTATGTCTTTAGATGAATCCACACTTACACATAGACGTATAGGTTAGAAGGTGAATAAGCTCTGGAAAGCTTCGTAATTTTGAGTTGGTCTGGTGATAATTTCCAGACCTTCTCTCTGTTACCTGTTGCAGAAAATAAAAACTCTCCTCTTCCCCAGTTCATCTGCATTGGGCTGCAAAATAGCAGCCCAACCCTCAGTTTGCTCTGTGAACAACTGCACTCCAGTGTCTCAAAAAGAAGAAGAAAGAAAGAAAGAAAGAAAGCAGAGGAGGACTTGGGTAAGTGAAAAACAGGAGGTGTGTGTGCACCAGGGGTCAGGAATCTTGAAGATCATCTCAGAATTCTACCTGCCCCAGAGATAGCTGGGGTAAACAGGTGGGTAAAAATTGGAGCTCACTGGAGGATCAGGCTCTGAAGAATTTGACTATAAGAAATCCTTTATCTGGCCAGGCATGGTGGCTTACACCTATAACCCCAACACTTTGGAAGGCCAAGGCAGGTGGATCACTTGAGGTCAGGAGTTTGGGACCAGCCTGGCCAACATGGCAAAACCCCGTCTCTGCTAAAAATATGAAACTTAGCCAGGTGTGGTGGCACGTGCCTGTAGTCTCTGTGACTCAGGAGGCTCATGCAGGAGAATCACTTGAACCCAGGAGGCAGAGGTTGCAATGAGCCGAGATCACGCCACTGTTCTCCAGTCTCAAAAAAAAAATGAAAGAAAGAAATCCTCTATCTGGTACATTAATGTACTAAGCTTCTTATTCGATCTAGATGTCATTAATTATGTAATTATCACAGCCATCATTGTATCTATCTCAAAAACTCTCTTTTGTTTAAAGCCTAAATAATCTAAACCCCTGAGATCGAGGCGCTTCCCTGACATATGAGCTGTGGAGCAGGAGTGCTGCAGAGACAGAGCAGGCCTGTTCTTGGTTTGCCCCCAGACTCGCTTCTGGCCAGGGAGGCTGCCCCCCACTCCACCGCCCCTATCCATTACCCGAGCTCCCTTGCCTCTGGCTTCTAGCTGGGGTCAGCCAGCGCAAAGCAACAGGAGGGAACGAGGGCGGGAAGAGAGAGAGATGACAGGGAAGTTGTTCTGCCCCTCCTCCCTTGCTGCAGCCTGGCATGGCTGTGTTCCATGTGGCCCTGGCCCTGGCCCGAGGCCCTCACCAGTCTCTGATCACAGCAAACATTCTTCTTGCCCTTCAGAGCTGGGAGCAAACACAATTTACAGTCCCTGGTGCCTCCCCATCCCTCGTGGATTTCTTTACCCAGCTCTATAAAATCTCTTCATTAAACTCTTTTCAGATAAACTATTCATACCTTTAGTGTGTCCTGCCAGGATTGTGATAGATAAGGACAGATGACACATGACTGGTCTTCCTCTATGTTTTGATTCCTGGATATTATCTATGTTTTGATGTATTTAGAACAAACATACATACATATATATGTATATGTAAAGAGCCTTAAACATCTAACAACAACATGACCTGACCCAAAGCACTGGCAACTTGCTGGGGAATCCTAGAAGGTCACAAAAATCAGACACACTGAGGCCTGTGATGGTGAAGACGTGGGACTCCATCTCCTCTGTCTGCGCACTCTGGTTCCCAGTCTCTAAGACATCCCAAAGTGATTGTCTGAAAACACAGAGATGCTTCCAGCACAGTTGCTGCATAACAAACTACACCCAAACTTAGTGGCTTAAAACAACCACCATGTCTTTAGCCCACAGTTCAGTGATTTGGGCAGGGCTCAGTGGGACGGCACAGCTCTGTTCCATGTGATGGAATCTGTGGTGGCTGCAAGCTGGTGCCCAAGACAGCGGCCCCAGAGTAGCCAGCCCACTTGGACAGTGGCTCAGGGCTCCTGAGAGCCAGGCAGAAGCTGGGTTGCTCTGAAGATTTGACCAACCCAGCCTCATTCCCCCCGTTGCCCTCATTTGCTCCTGTTGCCTTGCGCTGGCTGACCCCAGCTGGAAGCCTGAGACAAGGGAGCTCAGGTGATGCTGCCCATGGGGGTTGAGGGCAGCCTCCCTGGCCAAAAGCAAATCTAGGGGCATACCAAGAAGCCACACAGTTTCTTCATCTGGCCACAGTCAGAAAGGCTCAACCTGGTTAGAGATGAGAGAACAGAGATGAAATATCTTGGTCGGGAATGACAAGGCTCAGGAGAAGCCCATGGGACCAGAAATGCAGTTGTGGCCAATCTAAACAAATAGAATCTGCCACAAAGACATTAAGAAAATCAATACCCAAGTGTGAGAATCAACAATACCCACTCTATGTTCCCTGCTTCAGTCATGTTGGAGTGCCCTATCTCCCCAGGCCTGCACAACAGCAGCTAGAATGCGACTGCACACTCAGGCTGCTTTGGAGACCTCGTCACCTTTACACCATTGCACAAAGGCATTTCTGCCTTGTTCTGTACTAAATCTCAGATGTCACATAAATCAGTGACAATTACCAGTTAATTGCTTCTGGAAGAAAGCTACCTGGAGTTTCATTTTTTTTTCTTTGCTAGTGATGAATAATTTTCCTTCGAATCGTACTTTGAAATATGGCAGAATGTGGTTCTTTCATTTTCAAAACCTTGCATTGGTGACAAAAAGTAAAATAAAGGAGAGATCTTGAGTATCCATCACACTGGAAGCTGAGCACCATATTCCATTGCACAGTTTCCAGAATTCCCACATGTGTGTGAATGCATATGAACATTCCATGTCAAGGTCAGTCTAAGGGCAAATCTTTCTCCCCCTCTATCAGAGAGTCTTCACCAAACAAGCATTTCTGGAGTAACTTACTCTTCATCATCAAGAAGAACCTGGAATGCATGCCGGGTCCTGTGGGTGCAGAAATTAAAATGGTAGAGACTGTACCAGCCACACTGAGACCTGCAGCCCAGGCTGGATCCAATGTCCGGCTAGCCTGAGGTCTGCCATTCTACAAGTCCATACATTCACGCTCATCTCTCCCTCAAGAGTTGCCAAACTCTGACCAGGTACGGTGGCTCACACCTGTAATCCCAGCACTTTGGGAGGCTGAGGCAGGCAAATCACCTGAGGTCAGGGATTCAAGACCAGCCTGGGCAACATAGCTAAACTACATCTCTACTTAAAATACAAAAACATTCACCGGTGTGGTGGGTATTCCCAGCTACTCGGGAGGCTGAGGCAGGAGATCGTTTGAATGCAGGAGGCTAAGGTTGCAGTGAGCCGAGATGGCACATTGCACTCCAGCCTGGGCGACTGAGTGAGACCCCATCTTAAAAAAAAAAAAAAAAAAGGGTTGCCAAACTCTGCTCAAGGCCTCCTCTGTGATTCCAGGTTTCTTGCGTCTTGATGGCACACAGTGGTAATTCAACCCCCCTAAGTGCTCCTGCCTGTTGCCTCATCTCCCATCTCTCCTTCCACTTCCCCTTTAATTCTCCCCTTTGGTCTACTAATGAATCGGTAACTCCATTGTCCAGATTTGGGGAAAGCTCTTCCCAATTCCTCCCATGACCGAAACCTGGTTTTTCTCTAAGATGTCCCAAAACTCGAAGCCAACTCTAAGAGACCTTCTTCAATCTCTAATTGTCCTGGGAGCCAAAAAGGCCCTTTGCCCACCTGTCTTCTGCAATCCCTGCTGGGACTCGCTCTTTCTCCTCCCGAAAGTCTCCTCTCACTGCTGACACCATGTCTCCCCCATGTCTCCCCCGTGTCCCTCTGCTGTCTCCAGGGCTTGCACCTCCCTGAGGCTTGCCCAGCATTGATGCCTTCAGCCCTCTCGAGAATCCTTTGAAGAACTTTCATTTCAAAAACGCTTGGCTGCACCAGATGGCCTTTCAAACCTGCTGGGCAGGTGGCAGTAGCTACCCTTGACTCACAGAAACCCCGGCTTGCAAAGGTGCCCAACAAGCCCTCCCACCTTGCAGCCCGAGTGACAGAGCACAGGCCAAACGTGGGTACCTGGTCCTACAGAGCTGTTTATGGTTGGCCCAACCTAAGGCAACTCTGATTTAGTACAGTTTGAGGGTACATGTCTGAAGTCAAAAGACACCCTCAGCCTTGCTCCCAAACCACCGCCTTTCCAGTGCCTTCATCTCCCCTTGACAGTGCCCTGGGAGGCTGTCCACTGCTCAGCATGGCACTGTGCGAAAGTCACACAGTACATTCACTTGTTTTAGTACCTGCGTTGAAACGTGTTCTCCCTGATGAAAAATAAATTCCGTTTTAAGATTGAGGGAAAACTTAATAAATAAATAAATAAATTCCAGTGCAGGGTTTTCACACACAGCATAATGTAGCCTCTGTAAGATGGTAACAGAAAAAGCCATTAGCTAAAAATGCTCTGCATAAAGTGGGGGCTGAGGAGGCGAGAGAAATCAGTAGCTGAGATTCTACATAAAAAACATCTGTTAGGACGGAGAGACCAGGCCTTGCTGCTTACGGCGGTATCTCCTGGGAGCTTATGAGCAAATGCAGAGATTCAGCTCACCCCTGAGCTGTTGAATCAAAACCTTCATTCAATGATGTCCCCAGGTGATTCACGTCCACATTAGTTTGATGAGCACAGGCCGGATGACAGAGAAGGCGGGAGGAGGGAGCGTGTGTAAAGCATCATTGTCTTATAACTCCATCTAAGAAAAAAAATCCATGTTTTGTTTCAAAAGGCAACTTGCCAGTGGAACCAGATGTTTTGCCTTGATAAATAAAGACTGCATCCAACCAGATAAGGACATAACCAAACATACTCTTCCACTGTCAGCCCTCACCAGAGGACTCTGTGGCTATTAAAAGAGCAGGATTTCAGCAGATTAAAACAGCCCTCTTTTTTTCTTTTTTTTGAGGCGGAGTCTTGCCCTGTCGCCCAGGCTGGAGTGCAATGGCTTGATCTTGGCTCAATCTTGGCTCGAGTAGCTGGGCTTACAGGTGCCCACTACCATGCCCAGATAATTTTTGTATTTTTAGTAGAGATGGGGTTTCATCATGCTGGCCAGAGTGGTCTTGAACTCTTGACCTCATGATCTGCCTGCCTTGGCCTCCCAAAGTGCTGGGATTACAGGCGTGAGCCACTGCGCCTGAGTCTAAAACAGCTGTCTTAATAGATACGGTCTTGCTATCACTCCTGATCGGCACCCAGCATCTGCCACTGAACATTCTACCCACCTCAGACTCTTCCTTGAAAGACTGGTGGGTCTCCTGGGCCACACGAGGATATTCTTTTTGTTTACATTGCTCTCCTTGGACTGGTTCATTAGCCCATACCTATCCCCTACTTTTTAAACAATTTGGCCAGAGGCAGTGGCTCACACCTGTAATCCCACCACTTTGGTAGGCCCAGGTGGGTGGATCACCTGAGGTCAGAAGTTCAAGGCCAGCCTGGCCAATATGGTGAAAACCCATCCCTACCAAAAATACAAAAACTAGCTGGGTGTGGTGACGGGTGCCTATAATCCCAGCTACTCGGGAGGCTGAGGCAGTAGAATCGCTTGAACCCAGGAGGCAGAGGTTGCGATGAGGCAAGATTGTGTCGCTGCACTCCAGCCTGGGCAACAAGAGCGAAACTCCATCTCAAAATAAATAAATAAATAAACAATTTTTAAAAGTTTTGTAGAAATGGGATCTCATTCTGTTTCCCAGGATGGTCTCCAGCGTTTGGATTCAAGTGATCCTCCTACCTCAGCCTCCCAAAGTGCTGGGACTACAGGCATGAGCCGTCATACCCAGTCCCATCTCCTTTCTTTTGATATTAAAAGTTACTTCGTTGTGGAATGTTTACTCTGTAACATTTTTCTGTGAAGTATACCATTACGTTCCATTTACGACATTGACTGACTTGTGGAGTGGCTTGAGCCTGTGTGCCTACAGCTCTGAGTACCGAGAATTGCCCCCTTGGGAACCCACGTAGCTTGTGGCTTTTATGATTGAAATACCATCAGTAAAAGTCTGACGTCATAGAAAAACATAAACATGGGTGGACCTGGTTATCTCTGACCTTGTACCACTTACCAGAGGGTGAGTGGGAACCCCAGAGAAGACGGAGGCTGGAGGGTCTGACAGGAGCATTGGTAGCCTCGAAAACCCATAGTCTGCGCAGGTCATACCTGCACTCAGAATACTTTTAGGAGCACCTCACCTGTCCACTCTCATTCCTACAGGCTGAGAAAAGCCGTAGGGAGCTGAGCAGGGGTCTCCCTCACCACACTCTGACATCAAATGTATAGTGCTTATTCCACGCCAATTCTCTAACTTTTTGACACCAGCCGGTGTCAATTCAGTTCTGGCACCATCTACCTGGAGATAGCATAGACCCCACAAGTTAAGAGTTCTGCTGAACAAGACTGCTGCCCCCCTTCAGATGCCAGTCACAAGTCCCAGACCTGTACCTCTGGCCATAAATCGGGGGTTCTTGCAACCTCTCCTTCAATTTGATAATTTGCTGGTCGGACTCAGAACTTGGAAACATTTGTTAAGTTTATTTATCGATTTGTTATAAAGGCTACAACTCGGGAAGAGCCAGATGGAAAAGCGGCACGGGGCAAAGGATGTAGGAAGAGGCTGGAGCTTCCATGTCCTCTTTGGGTAACCAGTTCCCAGCACCCATATGGTCACCAGCCCAGAAGCTCTCTGAACCCCGTCGTTTAGGGAGGTTTCATTAGGAGGTTTGATTATGTCGGTATCGTTGATAATCATTGGCAGTGGGTGATCAACTCAAACACCAGCTCCTTTCCCTCTAATTGTCTTGGTCTTCTGGCCACCAGCCCCCATCCTGAAGCTACCTGGGACCCCAGGCATCAGTCATCTCTTTAGCATACAGACACTCCTATCCCTCAGGATACTCCAAGGGTTTTAGGAGCTGTGCGCCAGGAACTGGGGCCAAAGACCAAATATTCATCTTTTTATTATATCAGAGGTCACTCCATGGTCTTTGACCATGGATACCTTATTGTGAAGGATCACAGAAGTCAAAAGACACGGACACATTACCAGAATCCCCTTGAGTCAAAATAATTCATCCAGTCTATCATATTGTATGGAAGCATCTGCCAGGTTTACAGGCTGTGGTTCCATCTTGTCAGCTTCTGGAAACAGGTATGGTCTCTGCAAATATCGCTTTGCCCTTTCAGGCCTCTGAGCTAAGAGACATTATCATCTCTTGCTCTGAGCCACTTTCAAAATATTAATATGACATTGGGTTTCCCTTGTTACATAACCTATTTATTCATTTCTTTACTTTTACCTACTATTCCTCCTCCTTTTCATTTATACCCAAACTTTTCCACCCTGGATGGAAGGGGCATTCAGTTCGGCCATTGTGCTAGTCCAGATTGCAGATAGCAATATAATCTAGCAAGAGCCTTCTCCTCCGTCCACGACCGTTCAGAGAGGGTAAGGTCACACAGGCACAGGACGAGTCGGCTACGTTCACCATCAGGCAAGACAGCTGCATTCACCGTTAGCCCCAATTTCTCAAATGGGATGAAGTCACAGCCTACCCCATCAGGCCTTTTGGAATTCTGTCATAAGGTTTAAAAATATAGTCACAAGGGCCGGGTGCAGTGGCTCACATCTGTAATCCTAGCACTTGGGGAGGCTGAGGTGGGCAGATCAAGATGTGAGGGGATCAAGACCATCCTGGCCGACAGGATGAAACCTCGTCTCTATTAAAAATACAAAAATTAGCCAGGCATGGCGGCACGCGCCTGTAGTCCCAGCTACTCAGGAGGCTAAGGTAGGATAATTGCTTAAACCCAGGAGGAGGAGGCTGCAGTGAGCCAAGATCACGCCACTGCACTCCAGCCTGGGCAACAGAGCGATACTCTGTTAAAAATAAATAAATAAATAAATAAATAAATAGTTACAGCTGCTTGTTATTCAGGAGCCATCCCTGTTATAGTTGCAGCCCGATCCCGTGACCATTACCTCTGGTGGGGGAAAAAATTAAGGTGAGGTGGAGAAGAAAGAAAAAGTTACAGTTGTTATACCAGTACACTTCTCTCCTGGCAAGAATTGCATAGACATACGAGCATCGTCCCCACCCCCTTCTCCCCAGATCTACAGAAAGAGAAATACCAGCTGAGCTTGGTGGCTCACGCCTCTAATTACAACACTTTGGGAGGCTGAGGTGGGCGGATCACCCGAAGCCAGGAGTCTGAGACCAGCCTGGCCCACATGATGAAACCCCTTCTCTATAAAAAATACAAAAATTAGTCAGGTATGGTGGTGGGTGCCTGTAGTCCCAGCTACTTGGGAAGCTGAGGCAGGAGAATCGCTTGAACTAGGGAGGAAGAGGTTGCAGTGAGCCAAAATCTCGCACCCTGGGAACACTGCACTTTAACCTGGCCAGCAGAGCAAGACTCCATCTCAAACAAAGAAAAAAAAAAAAAGAAGAGAGAGAGAAATATCTACTGAAGTCGTTCTTTTTTTCTTCTTTTCCAAGACAAGGTCTTGCTGTATTGCCCAGGCTGGAGTGCAGTGGCGAAATCATGCCTCACTGAAGCCCCGGCCCCCTCAGCTCAAGTGATCCTCTCACCTCAGCCTCCCAAGTAGCTGGGACTACAGATGTGCACCACCACGCCTGTCTATTTTTTAAAAAAATTTTTGTTGAGATGGGGTCTCATTATATTGCCCAAGCTGGTCTCAAATTCCTGGGCTCAAGTGATCCCCCCTCATCAGGCTCCCAAAATGCTCGTATTACAGGTGCGAGCCACTGTACCCAGCCATGGACACTCTTTTAGTATTTCTCATGTTGAGTGTGAGCACACACTCAAGAAAGTGTCTCAGGCAACCTTTCACGTTTTTATCTCCCCCTTGTATTGGACAACCAACGTTTTAATTGCTTGTTCCACTTTTCTATCAAACTATTACTCCAAGGCAGATGTCTCCCTGCCCATTGCTGGATGTAAGGACTCTACTGTGTCCTTGGTCTGAAGAAATTACCGTCAGCTGTCCAAATCTGGGCAATGTTTCCTCTTCCGTTTTTTCTGTAGCACTCTGAGCACTTGCATCTTCTACCAGGTAAGCAAAGCCCAGTGCAGAGTCAATGTCTATTCCTCTTAGGACCTATTCGTAGCCCTCAGGGCTACCACATCAGTCTCACTTAACAGCTGTGCTCAGGGCCTCCCTATTAGGGAATCTGCCCCGTAGCCATCTGCAGTCTCTGTCTCTTTTGCTTGCAGAGAGAACAGTTCTATCAGCATTATGTGCTCGAGAGAGTGCAAGAGGAATATGTCTAGATTCAGTCCATCTCTGCACTGCTGAAGTCCTCCCCCAACCCAGTCATTTTATGGACCCAGATGGCCACCTCCAGTGAGTACATGGGGATACCTGCTTGTCAATTACAGTCATCTTCTGGACCTGGAAGTTCAAAGTATCCATTCTTCTGATAGCCTCTGCATGTCTTACTTTAGTGACCCCCCTCATATTCCCACAGTGGCCAGGCGCAGCGGCTCATGCCTATAATCCCAGCACTTTTGAACTGAAAGCAGGCGGAGCAGTTAGACTCTGTCAAAAGAAAGAAAGAAAAAGAAAAGAAAGAAAGAAAGGGAGGGAGGGAGGAAGAAAGGAAGGAGAAGAAAGAGAAAGAAGAAAGGAAGGAAAGAAGGAAGAAAGAAAGAAAGAAAACAAGGAAGGAAGGAAGGAAGGAAGGAAAAAAAATAAATTCCTGTAGTGAGTTCCACAGAACCATGCCCCATACAAGTATCTCTTTAAAAGGACAGGTTTCCATGGCCTCCTGCCTGACCATTTGGCCAGGCCATTGACCATCACCCATGAACTGGCAAAAACTGAAACATACAGGCTCTTACCACTCCTCAACTCTTCCATCACTGCTAGAAATTCAACCCACTGAGCTGATTTGTTTTTGCCTTCTTCAATCAGAGGGGCATGTTTCCTAACAGACAGTCTGTTCACCTTGGAACTGTCATCAACACATCATGCAGCTCTTTGTTGGTCAGTCGAGAGCAGTTTATAGAGCACTGTTCATGTGATAATAGAATCTGTCAGCTCCTAATGTGATTTCTGAGTCAGTCCTGGGGGAAAAGAGGCTCCCTGTTCTCCCTATTTATGAATTTCTGCTTCTTTGTGCCCCAGGCAGCATGATCCTGTAGAAACCGCTTTCATCTTATTATGGAGCTCCCCTGAGCACGGCCGTCCCCACTAGAATGCTTCTCCAACATCACATAGGACATTGTGGGTATTTTCAGTTTCAAGATTATTTTATGTCCTTTTGTCATAGGGGTGGCTCCATTAATGCCTGATAGAAAGCTAGTAAATGCCCTCAAGTGGAAATTCACTGGTCCAAAGCCCAGTGGATGTGGCTGGGATTCCTCTCCGGGTTTTCTCCATTAGCCCCACTTTCCACTCTACACAGGGCTATCCCACCATGAGTCCGTCCCTCCCAGCACTCCAGCGTCTCCTCTGCACTGTGTGGGCTCAGGCAATCTTTCTGCTCCCCACATAGCGTGTCCAATGAATACTGCTTGAAAAGCAAATGTAATGCCTTTTGTTTTATAGCAGCAGTTCCCCAGTGAGATCCCAGTCCATCTCCATAGGACGTTCAGGTAAAAGAGATACAGCAACTTCAGACATACCAATTTTTCCTCTTGCTGTCACCTTAATCTCATCAATCCTGATCTTCCTAAGTGAAGCCTTCATTAGGACCTCCCCAACAGTTTTTGGTTTTACAATACTAGGTAGAGGAGGCATTCCACAGTCAGACATGATATTCACTCCCATCAAACATTCAGGAAGAGACACACCCTCTTCACATAAAGCCTGTTTAACACTCCAATGATCATGCAATCTTTCACCGTAATCCTCCCAATCCTTACATTTCTGTCTTCTCTCAGTATAATTGCCACTGGGTTAAGCTTCGCCAACAAGCACTGGTACCATAGTGCGTGGGGCTCCCTTATCAAGGTGTCCCTGACTCTCCCCTCTGCCTTTCCTCATTCACTTATTAATTAACCCAGTATTTTTATTAGCACCTGTAAGACCCATTTGAGGAAGCTGAAACAGCAAATTTGATAAGGCTTCCGGAACTTTCCCTCCATTTTCAATATCGAGGTCATACGGGGCATCCACATCAAAGGAGCCCCCTGAACCACAGCATTTACCATGACATGGGTTACGGGCGTATTCAGCGGGCGAGTATCCCAGTCGTAAGCCAATCCCACATGGCTTGCATTTGAAGCATGTCAGCTGTGGTGCTCCACTTGGCATTTATAGGGGGAGTGGGGCAAGCCCCCTTTTCCAGTTAATTAGGTCTTATAGTGGCTTTTATCCAGTCCTCCAAGCTGGCTCTTCCCTTGGGAAGATTCAGCCTGTGTGTCTGAATCACGTACAGCTATCTGTGATTGTTCCCTAGTGAGCTGTGGGTCTTGTATCAACCCATGCACGCTCTTCCACTCTGCGGTATTCAAAAGCAAAGACACTGCCCCTAAATTAGTTATTCTCAGAATTCAGCTTGGTAAAGGCTCATCAAGAAGCTGATGATACTGATTCACAAAATGAGTCAGTTCCGTGCTCTGTACCTCCTGATCTCTGTAGTTACTGTTTTTTTTTTTCCCGCCATCCACACTAACTACCTTTCTTGGTGACCATAGGTCTTAGAAGGACTCTTTTTGTCCCCTCGTATTTCTTCTCTTGGGAGGTGGCCCTGAAACTAGTGGCTGAGCTCAGGCCAACCCAAATCTGACCCTGGCCCAGCCTCAAGGTCCACCCAGCACTCTCATTTACTTTCATTTTAGCTAATATAGGTAGCAATAAACGAGAGATTGTATATTTTGCTTTTTTCTTATCATTTTGCATTTCTTTTTTTTTTTTTTTTTTTTTTTTCCGAGACGGAGTTTCGCTCTTGTTACCCAGGCTGGAGTGCAATGGCACGATCTCGGCTCACCGCAACCTCCGCCTCCTGGGTTCAGGCAATTCTCCTGACTCAGCCTCCTGAGTAGCTGGGATTACAGGCACGCACCACCATGCCCAGCTAATTTTTTTTTGTATTTTTAGTAGAGACGGGGTTTCACCATGTTGACCAGGATGGTCTCGATCTCTTGACCTCGTGATCCACCTGCCTCGGCCTCCCAAAGTGCTGGGATTACAGGCTTGAGCCACCGCGCCCGGCTATCATTTTGCATTTCTTATGATTCCAGTGAATCAGTTTCCCGGGAGTTGGATGCATCTCTAAATTCCACCGGTAACTTTTACCTTTAGTAACCGATTGTAGCACAGCTATGGCTCCATATCATGGGTGACCACACGGCCACCCAGAAATCAAAGGTTACCCACCCCACACCCTTTTACCGTTTCTCTTCCCAAACCAGATGCTTCTATCAGCCAGTGCCTTTCTAGCAAATCCCACATTTTCTCTTTTCTTGAGATGGAGTCTCACTGCTGCCCAGGCTGGAGTGCAATGGTATAATATTGGCTCCCTGCATCCTCCGCCTCCCAGGTTCAAGCCATTCTCCTGCCTCAGCCTCCAGGGTAGCTGGGATTACAGGTCCCTGCCACCACATCCAGGTAATAGTTTTGCATTTTTAGTACAGACCGGGTTTCACCATGTTGGCCAGGCTGGCCTCGAACTCCTGACCTTGTGATTCGCCCACCTCGGCCTCCCAAAGTGCCGGGATTACAGTTGTGAGCCATCACACCCAGCCTGATGGAAATCCCACATTTTTGACACCAAAAGAAGCAAGGGTTTTCCCCACCATGCTTCTGATGCCACATGTGTGGTGTGTTTTCCAACACCATTTCTCCAAGTCTCCTACATCAACTGGGTGTCCTACAATGAACTGTACCCAATTCTGAGACTATCTTCCTGGAAGTGGCAGGAGATCCCACAAGTTAAGGGCACAGCCCCACATACTGTCTCCACCACTTCACACACCAGTCACAAGTCTTGGGTCTCCTGTACTTTTGACCCACTAACTGTCTATGAGCTGAGGTTTCCACGACACCTCCTCAGCTTTGGTGATTTGCTAGAATGACTTCCAGAACTCAGGAACACGCTTTACCAGCGTTGTATAAAGGATACAACTCAGGAACAGCTAGTTAGAAGAGATGTGGAAGGCAAGGTATGCGGTGGTGGGCGCGGAGGCCTCACACCCTCTCCAGGCGCCCCACCCTCTCGGCAGCTCCAGGTTTCAGGTGTTCATCCACCAGTAAGCTCTCTGAACCCCACTATTTAGGGGGTTTCTGGAGGCTTCCTTATGTAGGTGTGAGTGACTAAATCATTAGTCATTAGTGATTAAGCTCAACCTTCAGACTCTCTCCTTTCCGCAGAGTCAAAGACCACTTCCTTTTTAACATAGGATTGTGAAATGAAAATACCGTTTTTTAATTTTTTGTTTTGAGACAGAGTCTTGCTCTGTCACCCAGGCTGGAGTGCAGTGTGGTGATCTCAGCTCACTGCAACCTCTGCCCCCTGGATTCAAGATATTCTCCTGCCCCAGCCTCCTAAGCAGCTGGGATTACAGCTATGCACCACCACACCAGCTAATTTTTGCATTTTTAGTAGAGATGGGGTCTCCACCATGTTGTCCAGGCTGGTCTCGAACTCCTGACCTCAAGTGACCCATCTGTCTTGGCCTCCCAAACTGTTGGGATTATGGGCGTGAGCCACTGCACTCAGCCAGGAAAATACCTTGGGCCCCCAAAATCACTAAGCAAAAGGGAACATTCAAGCTTTTATCTTTGTTTTTGGCCTACCTTAAGTGTCTAGATTAACTTAGAGAGAGGGATATCCTTGTAATGCTGTGTTTCTGTCTCAGGACGGAAAATGTTTCTTCATTTACTCAAGTTCTCTGTCTGTCCCTCTGTTCACTGGAAGCTTTTCTCTGTGTACTCCTGTACATTTTCATGTGTGGATTCTGAGATATTTATTCTCCTTCTTTCCATGCTAAATGAGACTCTCTTCCATCAGTGTTTGAGGACTGTTGCTTCAGGTAGGAAGCATTTTGGCAAACTATTACTAGAGAGCCCATCTTAGCGAAGAGTCTGCCTGCTGCTCACCCAGAATCCTGTGTGCATGCTCAGCCTCCTGTGACCCCCTCTTCTTGCCACCTAGTCCTCGTGTGGTGAAAGGGTGGTGATGCCCAGGACACAGGGGCTGCCCCAGGGTCAGCTGGACCCAGCCCCTCCAATCCCTTTCCACCAACTACTCCATCGCCTTTCAGACTGAAAAGGCAAATCCGTATCTGTGGACTGCAAAGTTTCGTTTCTGGGGGGGATGTCTTTTTATTTTTTGGAGACAGGGTTTCCCCATGTTGGCCAGAATGGTCTCGATCTCATGACCTCGTGATCCACCCATCTCAGATTCCCAAAGTGCTGGGATTACATTTTTGTTGTTGTTGTTGAGATGGAGTCTCACTCTGTTGCCCAGGCTGGAGTGCAGTGGCACGATCTCGGTTCACTGCAACCTCTACCTCCTGGGTTCGAGCGATTCTCCTGCCTCAGCTTCCTGAGTAGCTGAGATCACAGGTGTGCGCCACCACACCTGGCTAATTTTTGTATTTTTAGTAGAGATGGGGTTTTACTATGTTGGTCAGTCCTGGTCAGGCCTTGAATGCCTGATCTCTTGATCTGCCCACATCAGCCTCCCAAAGTACTGGGATTACAGGCGTGAGCCACCACGCCCAGCTTCTGAGGGGAATATCTTAAAAGCCTTTTTTTCCTTCCTTGAGGAACTTTTCCAAAAATAGCCAAATATAACCAATCTCTGGCAATGTTTAGATGTCATGTGTAATTAATGGGTACCACTGAAGTAAACTGCAAAACTTTGTTGTGAAATCCTTGAAACCGCCTTAATATCTGTATTGTTGTCATAAGCTATTTGACTCTAAATGTGTATGTAATAAAGATTGATCTGTAAATGCGTAGGTGCACTAACTTTACTGTGAATTGGAATGCTTTTTTATGTGGCCGTCTGGTCTTGTCGGGGCATTTGTTTTTACATGTATCTCTGACACCCTTTGCTTTCTCTTTTTGTGACCAGTGACCTTCCTGGGAACCAGGCAAGTCTCCAGGCCCTGCCTCCTGTCTCTGTTGACACTTTCCCTTCCTGATGCTGCGTTTTCCAAAGATAGCTATAGAAATATCTCCCATCCCATGTGTATTCCTACAGTGTGACCTGGCCACTTCCTCCCTGAGAGGTGCGGTCTAGGTCTCCTCCCCTTTAATTGTCCCTTTTTGGCCAGGATATTCTCAGTATTTGCAAGGAAGGTCCCCAAAACTAGCAAAGGGCTGGGCACGGTGGCTCACGCCTGTAATCCCAGCACTTTGGGAAGCCGAGGCAGGTAGATCACTTGAGGTCAGGGGTTCGAGACCAGACTGGCCAACATGGTGAACCTCCGTCTCTACTAAAAATACAAAAAATTAGGTGTGCACAGTGGCACATGCCTGTAATCCCAGCTACTTGGGAGGCTGAGACAGGAGAATCGCTTGAACCTGGAAGGCAGAGGTTCCAGTGACCTGAGATCGCGCCATTGCACTCCAGCCTGGGCAACAAGAGCAAAACTCAGTCTAAAAAATAAATAAATAAAAGCCTGGTGCAGTGGCTCATGCTTGTAATCCCTTGTAATCCCAGTGCTTTGGGAGGCCGAGGCAGGCAGATCACCACCTGAGGTCGGGAGTTCGAGACCCACCCTGACCAACATGGAGAAACCTCGTCTCTTCTAAAATACAAAATTTGCTGGACATGGTGGCCCATGCCTGTAATCCCAGCTTCTCGGGAGGCTGAAGCAGGAGAATCGCTTGAACCCGGGAGGCGGAGGTTGCGGTGAGCCAAGATCATGCCATTGTACTCCAGCCTGGGCAACAAGAGTGAAACTCCGTGTCAAAAATTAATTAATTAATTAATTAATTAATTTTTAAAAAAACAGTAGAGATTCCCCGGCAAGCTGGAATAGCTGGGCACCTGACTGCAGATCTGGGTGGGTTCCGGATGGCTTCAACCAAAAGAGCATGCTAAGACACACACTGTGAGTTCCAAAGCTGGGTCATAAAAGCCTGGAAGAGGCTTCCTCCAGGTTCTCTTATGTCTTAGTCACGTTTTTTTTGCCTTCTGCATCTTATAATTTTTATTTATTTTTTTAGAGATCGGGTCTTGCTATATTGCCCAAGCAGGTCTGGAACTCCTGGACTCAAGCAATCCTCCCACCTAGGATTACAGGCACGTGCCACCATGCCCAGCTCTTTTATGATGTTTTGACATCTGAAAAACCTGGCTGGCCAAGGAGACTCTGCCTCTCCAGGGGTTAGGCCATTCTTAGAGCTAGCCAAGGGCTTTGCCAAAACCTTGCCTTTCCTATACAAACCAACCAATTCCACGTCTATACTCCAGCCTCCCCCTTTATCTCACTCTCACACAAGCCAATATTTCATCTGCCCTAAATCATCCAAGAGCTGGGTACCAGGCAACTAGAAGCCACCCCTAAAGCCCAAAGCCTGCTGGAATCATTCAAAGTGTTTCTCCTGCCCTGCCCTGCCAGTCTCACAGAAGCCCCAGTAAAAGCTCTGGCCTCAGCTTCCCCTCACTTCTGCTCCCGCTTCTCGACAAAACCTGACACTCAGTTTGGGGTGGTCTGCCACGAGCAACAGAAAGCAGAACAACGTGCAGCTTGCAGGGTCTGGGAAAGCCAATTCTCCTGATACCATCCCAGGATTTTCAGATGGTGCTTTTTCAGGAACTAGAGGTTCTTCCAGCACTCAGGACCACACAGGATGAAAAGTTGAGGGAAAACGCCTGTCTCCACCACCTTCCAACCAGAATAGCCGCGGTTTTCATCTGGTTTTCACCCTGTT